CTGTTTAATGGTATGAGAATATGAAGCGCTTTAGTTGGAGAGTGGGGGGAAATAGGTTGTGTATTTACTTCAACACAGTCCGTCTGTTGGGCCTCTAGCACTTAACTGAATCATGGGGCAAAGCAAGCACCAGCTGGAGTTTCTTTTAAAAAGCCTGTTAATCTTCTGGGCACCATCCACTAGATTTGTATGAAAGATGGAGTTCCCATCTCAAAAGAGATGTCATTAATTTGATATTTGCTTTTGTTCTAGTTTGGTTCCAAATATCACAGCCCCCATTACAACCTGCCCCATTGAAACCTTTAACTTTGAGGAACACCCTCTCCCCCTCTCATCTAGATTATTTTAAATTTTGTTCTGTAATCCCTCTCATCCCACATATGCAATGTGCAGAGAAGCATGCCGATGGTAGTTGAGGGTGGCTGGCTGTAGTGGGTAGTGATGTTGTTTTCACAATGAAAAGTTCAGTACGGTGGAGAGTTTGACAAGGCACCTTTTTGGCTGTGGTATTATGGTGGGAGGGAAATGAAATTACTTCTGTCCTCTTTTTGAATGAAAAACAAGATACTTTACAGGAAAGCACAGCTTGGAAGAAATGTCTTTGTCCCCTTTGGTCCTTTTACCATTTGTTGTCCCAGAAGGTACCTCTCCTCTTCTCATATGGCTTTTACGTCATGGTCAGGTATGACAGCATATTCAATCAAATCATATTCACACCTTGACTTTTCCTACCCCATCTTGATTATATCCATACAACCACCTCCTTTCCCATGTCTTTCATGTTTCTCCTCCTCCTGGAGAAGTGTCTATACTTTTTTCTTCTTTCTTTCTTTCTTTCTTTCTTTTTTTTTTTTTGAGACGTATCAATTTTTCTCACTTAACAAATATTTTCTCCCACTTTCCCTATTGAAAAATTGTTTCACTGCCTCTTATGCTTTTCCTTTTAATGTTGACCTCCCTTTTCCAGAGAAGGAAGAAAAATGTTTGCTAAAATGATGGAAAGGAAGAAAAGAGAAGGAATAAAGTAATTTATTTTTTTTCTCAAAATATCTTATTTTTGTTGACAAAATGTTGAAAAAGTAAAAACATTTGCAAAAAATTTAACGAACTCTTTACAACTGAAGTTGGATTCTCCCCATCTCTTGTGCCTGTATTGGTCTTTTTTTTTCAATGAATTTACCCTTTTGGAATAAGTGAAAAGAGAATTAAGCTCATGTATGGACAGATGATGTACATGTAAGCTGCATGTCAATTTCCCAGACTTACAAAGTGCGTGCAAATGTTGGTACTATTGCCATGATAATTTTGAGGATCTACTCTCAAAATAATGCAAAATTAAAACCTCCCCCTGCTTCTACAAGATCCCCAGGTCTTAGGAAGTTTCTTTTGGTTCTTTTCAGATATGCTGGACAGGTCCATTTGATAGCCATCAGGTCAGGTTTTACGAGCTGCTGATCCATGAAGCAGAAGTAAAGAGCACAGGTATGGTCAGCAAGAAGCCCAACACATGTGGCTTCTCACAAGTAGCAGGGAACTCAATTGAACTGAGGAACCTAACACCCAACATGGATTATGTCTTCAGAGTCCGTGCAGTGAATATGGCTGGACCAGGGCACTGGTGCAGACCATACAAGGTGAGCAAGCAAGGAATGGGTGCTTCCATAAAAAACTAAGTCTGTTGTGCCTTTATTTTACTGGTACCTAGAAGTATTTTAAAGGTGGAGACTGGGGGCTTTCAAGCTGTGGTGCATAGACAGGTTCCTAGGGATGTGGAGATCCCTGTTGCTACAGACTGGGCAACATGAAAGTTAGTGGATATTGAAGCAGGAGCTGAGAGAGAAATCCTATAAGGATCTTTCTCTCATAAATTAGTGCACCATAAAATGACATGGGGGGGAGCTCTACTGCTACACTGAAGTTTGAGAGGGCTTGTGACCTCTCCCCTGGCAGTGGATAAAATCTGTGTAAAAACTTGCCTGGAATGGCCACACCACCTTTCTAGACCCCACTTTGGTTACTCACTTTACTAGAGTCCTGCAGATACTCCCTGCAGACTACACTTGACATTTCCACCCTCCATTTACCATGGAGAGGTCAGTGTCCTTCTTACTCAGCACAAGTGAATGGACAGTTCTTTGAAACCCACCCACACCCCTCACTATCCTTGGTTGCCTGGCTGTTGAATGGCTAGGGGCAATCATTATTTTCCTCAATAGGAAGCCTACTTTTCTTAATCATTGCATTGACTTTGTAGATTGCTGATGAAGAAGGTAAATGTTGTGTGTCAGTTTCTTACCTCCTTGTCATCATTTTTCATTTCAGTTTGCAACTCTGGCTGCAGCTGGGAAAAGATTTTCAAAACCAGGCCCTGTCACTATTATAGTCCGACGGAAAAGAGGTTCACAAAAGAACGTAGCTTATTTTGATGGAAGTGGAAAGGATACTGTAGATGGCATCAAATCTTACTAAAAGTGTTGTCAAGCCACTACGTTCATGGCCAGACTTGACTCGTATATATTTATGTAAATAAAAGGAGATCTATGATTTAAATGTGGAGAGATCCTCCTTCCCTATTCCTATTTTTGTGTTTTAGATTAGCTGGGTTAAATGCATCCGTATACATCAGTGAGTTAGTCTCTGGGTAGCATATGTAGCATATGTAAAAATAGATCTTTGAAACCAGATATCCAAAAGAACCCTGCACCCAGTAGTTCCCAATTATGAGCCTTGGTATTTTCATGGCTACTTAAAATTGTTCCACGCCCAACATATCCAAATGAGAGTAATGGCTGCTTTCAATGAAGGCCTCAAACTGGAGCTTTGTACTTTGGAAAATCTAGATCCAGTTGAGAGTGGTAAGTCTTTTTTTAAACATCTGACCTTTGATGTGTGAGTTCAGAAAAAAAGTCTTTTGCCATAGCCAGCAAGGAACAGCTTTCAAATATAGCTATACAGTTGGTACATTACTTTGCCTGAGCCCTTTTCCTGGCACGAAAATGAAAGTTCCACCTTTTCTTATCCTTTTCTTTTAGTGAAACTACTCTTCCCACAAACTCATCCTTCCCTTTTTGTAAGACATAGAACTGGGACTTACATGGGTTAGGTTCAGTTCCCATCTCTGACACAGACTTGGGGCTTGTATAAGTTATCTAACCTCTGTGGTGTGCTCTTATTGTCAAAATACCAAATAGTACTTATCTACCTCACTTGGGAATAAATTCCTGAGTGCTTATGGGGCATGCACCAACTTAACCGGAGTAGAATCATCCTTCCATCATGGACAGCTCATCTGAGAAGAGCGTGAGTAGGTAAAGAGGAGCCCAACTGATTCTGACTTTTAGGGCCCCTCTACATGTGCACGTAAAGATGCAATGGGATCTAATGTGCAATGCACGCAATTGCACCTCCTGCTGTGCCACATATGCATGGCAGGAAGCATGATTGTGGGATCGTGAATCAGATCCTATCATGCCTTCTGGGCAGTGGAGAGGGAGTCTGATCTTGGCCTTCCCCTGCACCAGCAAGAAACAAACTTCCACAGCTGGGTGCCATGTTACAGGCCAGCTAGGCGCTGTGAGTGTATCAGCCATTAGACTGCTGGGTTTGGGATTGAGGAGGCGAGTTGGGAGTGAAGTAAAGGCAAATTTACTTATAGCTTAGCATACAACAGTTAACAGAATGGTTAATGTGACAAACAGATAGTACAGTAATAAAGAGCTAATAGTGAATGATAACAACAGATAGAATGACAAAGAGTTCCCACATGGGGTTGGCAACTTATTGGCAGTCCCTCTATGCCAGGTGCGCGTCAAGTTGTTCCAGCGAAGTCAGGCATCCCCGATCAGTGCTGTCCGAGGGGTCACTGGGAAGATCCTTGGTCAGGATCCGGTCCTCACTCACACTGGGAGTCCGGGGTCCAGGCTTGGTACAGCGATGGTCCTTCTGTCCCGTCTTTCTAACTGGTCACTTGACATGCGCGTTCCTTTATGCCTTATTTTATGCTAATCTATTTAGCTTTAGAGCCACTCGCAGTCTTGCCCTATAGCTGTTACCCTATGGGATCAAAAGGTGTTAGAAATTATCATGAAAGGTTACTGCCCGAACTCGGGTTCACCCAATAAGCAAATTACACCACATTACTTTGAGGTTTGAAATTAGCATTACCTGCCCTTAGTTTCTTATTCCTGGATTGCTAGGAATGTGCTAATTATATTAGGTGGTCAGATCTTCTTATGGCTTGACCTTTAAAAAACCTGTTAGATCAGTTAATCTTATAGTTCTGCTTGGTTTTGGGGCCCATGATCAGTGCAAACAGTTAGATTTAACACTTTGGTTAAATTGTGACAGACAAATTCCGCTTGCAGGTTGCAAATGTGCAAGCTTTGCATTAGCTAATCTTAACTGCTTACACAATTGCCTGAATGCCTCCAAGAGCATATATTTATTGCTCATGATAGTAACCCCTCTGGTTCTGGCTACCACAGTGCCACCTCCAGGTGATGGGATTCTCAGCTGCAGGGATGCCTGATGCACCCTCACAGCTGGGAGACTACAGCTGCTGTGGTCTCAGCTGTGGGGGTGAGTGGGGCCCCCCTGCAGCTAGGAGCCCTGTTATCTGGAAGCTGTCAGACTTGGAGGTACACATAGACCCCCCTCCCAGCTCCATCTGGGAGCTCTGATCAGCTGCCTGGGCTCCCAGCCACAGGAGCTCCTGGCCATGCATTCAATTAATGGCATGATAGGAAGCAGCTACAAAGTTATATATTGGAAATGCTACTCATACACATGCCTTTTTGTGGTTGGCTATTCTAGCACACATTGGCGATGAAGTCGGCACCTATCAGAGGAAGGGACCTGGTGGATAGATGAGGGGTAGAACTTATGTGGTCACTCTAACAGGAAACAGCCATGGTACTCTGGAAGAGCCTAAGCAGCGGTTTGGAGAGATTAACCTTCTGTAGAATTGGAGGGAGAAGGAACCCCAGAGCTTGGAAGGCTTCATCCCCTCAACTGGATTCTGCACTTTTCCTCCTCCCACCCCAGTCCCTGAGGCTGGTGAAAAGAAGACTCTATGATGTGATCTTGACAAAAAGCCATGGCTCCTCCTTGACCTTCCAGCAGCTACTACCATCGAAGTGCCCAGTTTGGTTCTGCAAGGCACGTGCACAAGCTGGACCAAACTTATTTTAAGCTAGTTTGTCCCCTTCCAAGCTTACAAGTCCCTGCCAGACCCAGGTTGTATGGGTAAGACCTTCCCTTGTGAGGCCAGCTTTGCAATGGAAATAGTGTGACACTTTAATCATCCTGGAAAAATGAAAAGTCCTATAATAGCAGCACATTCTGCGTAAAATAACTCTGCTAATACAGTGCTGTAAAAGCGTTTTCTGCCATAAAGAGAAACCAGCTGATCCAATTCCAAAATGAAGGTGAGTGAAAAGCAAATGCATAAAACTAAAAGCATACATGACAACAATCTGAGATGCAGCTAATGTAAAGATTTTTTTTTTTAACAAGATTTTTTTTGGCACCACTAGTAACGGTCCAAACTCTGGGGGTTTGCCTGGCTGATCTGTCACAGCAGTGACCCCACTGTCCAGGGCTGATTCTTCAAAGTCTGCCAGGGAAACAAATGAGAAGCAGTAAGATATGGACTAGAACGTTAATGCTGTCTTGATTTTGTTTTTCTTTGCCCTAATTGTATTTGAACATTTCAATTGAATCGAGCATTGACTTTTATCAGTGATCTTTGTCTTAGTCATTCAGGTGAGCCCTTTGCCGTTAAGTAAAATGTCATTTTCTTTTTTTCCCCCCAAGGTTAAAGCTAAGACAGCTGAGGTCTCATTAAGCAGACAGAGGGAGTCTTTCATCCAATTGGATAGCAACTAGATAGGTTCAATAAAATAAAGGAGCCAATTACTTGTAAGGAGGCTGTGTCAGACCTAGCCTATATATCTTTGTCAGTGGCACTGGATAGGCTGTTCAGTGCTGTGTGCTAGGGGCTGCCAGATCAAAAAGAGGTGAAAAGATCAGATCTACCAAATGACATTTTTTACTTGCTTTGTATTAAGGCTGGAGGTGCTCACATACAATCAGTCCTCAGCTCATAAACTGATCACTGAATGCCTTATAAACTTCATCTTCAGCCAATGATGACAGCTGTTGCCTTTGAAGATTAAGGTATGTGGACAGGCAGCTTCAGAGTCCCTAGAACTGGGATGGAGTCAGTACACAAAACTTACTTCTGTTGGGCAAAATAAATGTATCCTGTCTCACTGGATCAAACTGCCTCTCCCCACCCCATTTGATGATCATAAGTTAGAGAAGCAAACTTGTCCTCATGGGCTATGTCTAGGGTGACTATGGGAGAATAGGAAATCCGTGACACTCCTCCTCCCCCCCTCTCCTGGGTCAGCGTTGCTGCAGGCAGAGGTGGGGGTATGGCCACATGGTGTGCCAGGCAGGCAGACGGCGGTGGTGTCTGCCCACCTGTTCTGTTCCTCATCACTCTGCCTCCTCACCAGACTGTGCCCTGCACCCCTGCATTTCTGGGATGCTCATTTTAAATGTCAAAATAAGGTACCATCACTCTGGTTCATAGGTAGAGGTTTACTGAACTCAAGGAGGTGGTTGGCTGATTTCATGGGCAGATCCTGGGACCAGCTGCCATTTTTTCAGGCTGAGTGCAGTGTCTCCCAACCCCTCTACATATTGGCTAAGGGGTCCTGGCAGTCCCACCCTTCCCCAAAGATTGACAGATGGCCCCAAACTGTGGCTTAATTGCTTACCATTAATGGCTTTTGTGTGCTTAATCAGGGGACACATTAAGCAATCTAAGCATTTAATTAAACACTAAATTGAAATGTGTTATGAAATTTAAAGCTATACACAACATGAATTGTAATTAATACCAACTATATACACTTTATTAAAGGACATAATAAAAAGGAGGTAGCTATCAAATGTTAGCATGCCGTATCCAGTAGCAGTAACTGTAGATATTCTCTAGCTACATCTACATGAGACACTGACTGCACAGGAACCTGAGTCACAGTGCAGTAATGCCAATAAATGACTTTTTTGTGGTGCTACTGAGTAGTAGCCTAACACTACTGTGCAGTAGGGTTGTGTCATGGTTTTTGCCATGCAATGCTACTGTGCAATAGCATTGGGCTACTGTGCAGTCAGATTCTTGTATAGACATAGCCTCTTTCTCTGTGGGGTGAACACTTGTCTGTACACTGAGATGGTATACTCAGCATCTACTGAGTTTGTTGAAATGCTGAGGCAGTGTTTTGCCAGGGCATAGAGATATGGAAACCTGTCACAAGCAGAGTCACAAGACACAGGCACAGTCATCCGACACTCTTGGACAAAGCTCACATAAGCAGCATGTTCGTTGTCATGCTCTTTCCACCATCCAGGGATTGATTTTGGTAGCTGAGAGTCACAACTCAGAATAGGCACCTAGTTGGGGGGCCAAAATGTGAACAGCATTAAGGAAGGAAGCAGGTGGTTGTCTGAACCATGGAGGCAGTGATGCATCACACCTGCAGTACTGGTTCAGCTTTACAGCTATTGCCTGGAGCAGTTTCTGTCTCTGCTGATTTTCATGAGGACAGCTTGACAGTTCTTGTGATGCTGTGTCTTCAACTCAACTTATCAAATCCATAAGGTTGTATGTGTGGTGGATCATGCCTCCTGGCCTTCAAACCACATTAGAAGCTCCATGAATTGGGTGGCATTTTCAGCCACAAACATAACTTGATCTTGAATGTTGCCCTGCCTTAAGAGATCTTGAAGTTTAAGCATGCACTGTGCACTGGGTGTGATTTCTAGCTCCTTGCTCATAAATTGCTGGTAGTACTGCATGTGCTTGGCATGGTAATGGACCATGTTGAACCATGAATGGACAGAGGTTCTGGTGGCAGCAGCACAGTTCCATGTGAGTCTTCACTTTGACTGGCAATGGACTCCCTGCATCTGACCTTATGTCCTGGACAGTGTTTGAAGGCCTTCTTGAAGGATGACACCAGGATATCCACATTAGGGAACTGTGTGCACCAGATGTCACTTACTAAAGACAGAATGTGCACATTGAAGGTGGCACAAACTGTATTTGCAGCACACCAGATGCACATCAGAGACAGTCTTGCACACATACATGGCATTGCCAGACAGGAATGCTGAGACTCCATTAAATTCTAAGCCATAGTTGACAACTATCTGTACTATGGCCTGAGACATGGTAGAAAAATTGACAGATGTGAGGTGGACTGGTTCTGTTTGAAATGGGCAGGTTCCAATCTGTCCAGCTCCCTGGTACAAATGTGCAGCACATAGTTGTCCTGAGGGTCAGTGGCTTCATCAGACACAATGGAGAAGGATTCATACTCTGCCAGGGCAGCATTCATGGACTGTACATGTGTCACTGCAGGGAGATAGTCCTGGCAGAGCTTGTTGGCACACAGAAAACTGCTAATATTTGGTATATTTTGGTTCAGGTGTAGTCCCTTAACTTAGGGTGATCAAGCTTCTCCAGTGGGATGTTCACCACCGTGAAAGCCTCCATGAGGAAAAATGCTGCCTCTTGTCTTGCCAAGCTGCTTTCTGTGGTTCTTTTAAAGAACAAAGAGACTGTTACTTGTTTGTTGCTCTGACCTTCAGCTTCTGCAACAGCCTTTTGCTTCATGTGCACCTCAGACTCTTAAGTGTCGATCTATGCTGGTTTTCCTCAGCATATTCAGAGTTACACTGCAGGTGCTACAGAACAGTCTTCATGCAAGGCCCCTGCAAGATACTGCCTTACATGGTCCAAAACTGAAACATTTTTGATTATCTTGGATGATTTCTTCTCAGCATTCATGCTGAATCTTCTTCAGGCTGCAGCATACTGTATCAGCCAGCATCACTTCTCTAGCTGGGTCCTGGACTGGCTCCTGGACTAAGCCTACATCAGGGGCTGAGCCTCTTATTTGCTCTCCCAGCACCCTGCTCCCCTGCCTCTAGTGCTTCAGGACTGCAGGGCTTCCCACTCTTTTCCCTGCTTACTGGTAGGGTTTTTTTTTGCTTTTTTCTTTGTTTTTTTCACAACCAACCTGCCATTTTTCGTAGAATTTGCCATTTTTTCACAGTCTCAGACCAATTTTGCATTTTCCATGAAAAATACACAATCACAATTTTGGTAGGTCCCTATCAATAGTATCAAAGGCCTTAATGTATGGTATTGCCTACTGCCTTTCAGATACAAGACATAATAAGGGAAGCTCCCCCATATAGGGGTTGACTGTGATCCCAAGCTAAGTGCTGATGTTGCTGACAACTGTCTCCTCCTTGATTGTTCAGCTGTTATTCAGAAGCATGGCTGGTATTATTTTTAGGTGGTGTTTGCTCTTGACTATTATTCAGAAGCTTATCTGTGGTATTCCTGGGTGGGCTTTTTAAGTGCTGCCCAATATTCATGATATATCAGTCAGTACAGGTATAGGTTCTGGACGCATTCTGTGCTTGACATTCTGAACTTGTTTTGGGGGACTACTGTGTTAAACAGTTGCATCTTTGAAAGGGGAGATTAGCATCTCTGTGACCAAATTCCAAGAACAGAATACAAAGGGACACAAAAGGGATTGCAGAGAGATTATAAATTATTAGTATAAATTCAAGTATGTTCTACAAAAGCATTTCTCTGTAGCCTGGAGGCAATTTTGCTGGTGTCACCTGATATCAGGAAGCTGAGTGATGATTTTGCTCTAAAAAATGTAGCCTTTCTTTTTTTATTTCACTTGAATGTCTATGTCATGAGTGAATATGGGATAAATTCAAGCACAATTAATTGTCATGTGGTGGCAGAGAGTCAAGGCATCCTGCTATGGCTCAGGAGATATGAATTATAGCCCTGCTCTGGACTCATGCCAAAGACCACTTCCAGATTACCTAAACGTAAATGGGCACCTGGTTACTCAGGCTGCGGAATCAGAAGCAGCCACGTCACTGCATTGTGTGGCTGCTGGCAGCAGGATCTTTATCATGCTAGCCTCAGTGGACCATTAGGCTTGGGTGGACCTTTTGCTCGACTCAGTCATGTAGGTAGCACCATAAAGGGTATGAATGAACATTACAAAAGTCACCTTCCCCCCCACAAATGTCCATATTTCCTTATCCAGATTCTCTCCTAGGGACATGAATAGTCTGAGGTGCATGCACTGCCACCATCACTTGACCAAAGACCTTCTTCATACAAATATGTGAACTATGATCCCTCAATTTAAGGTTCTGCCAGGCCAGAATTATGAACACTTTCTCCCTTTCAGTTTTTGCACAGGAATATACTGTGACACTGGTATGGTGACAGAATGCATGGGCAACTAGTGCCTCCTGAGTCTGAGGGGCACCCGCAGAAGGCAGCGTCAGCGGGGACAGAGCTGGCGAGCAGACACTGTCGGCGGGGATGGAGCTGGAGAGCGCACACACACTGCTGATGGCGTTGGTGGCAGGGACCCTGTTGGGGGGACACGTGCCTCCCTGTGCTCCTCCTACCAGTCGACTATGACAGAATGTATCTTCCCTTCCTTGTGGATCTTCTGACATAACTCTCCCTACACAGAACAGAATGTGATCCTCTGTCTACCTTAGTCAATATGGACTGAGTATCCATTCACAGGGTTTCTGGAACCTCTAGCCTTAGCGTATGCAGAGTGCATGTGCCTGAGTGTGGTAACTGAGGAAAGCAAGTATTAGCATGAATGCAATGTAACTATTTGTGACATAAAAGCTTCCTGATTTATGTGAATATGACTAATGAAAATAAGCAGAGAGAGGAATGAAAGAGGCAATAGGAACAGCTTGGGAGCAATTTTTAAATTTTTTTTCCAGCAAGTGCATAAGTGGTTTCATAAAGATAGAGAGGAAAGTTTGGCAGTGAAGCACTTTAGCTATCTTCAGCAGTTTTTGTGCAAATTGTCATGACTATAAACTGACACACAAAGTAATGCTGAATACAGCTGCCTGCGTTAAAAGCATTTGGCTTCCATACAGTGCTTATTGTCTGATGTGCATGTTTTGCATGGACAGTGTTCATTTTAAATGCATGCATAAATAAAGCAGAAACAGCCCTAATTTTTATACAAGGTACATAAAGATATGTCAATTGAACACTTTTGGGTTTTGTTTGAAATTAATATGGCTGGTGTGATTTGCCTGCCTTAGATGAAATACCTCCTGGCATAATTACATATGCATTAATATTCACCTCCAGTAATTCATTTCATGAAAATTCTGAGCAGATCAATGCCCATAGGAAGCATAAACCCCTCGCTATCAAGCCTCTTAGGCTAAGCTTCCCTTCATATGGGAAAGCAATTAGAGAAAAAGCAGAATGTCTCCATGTGCTATAGTTTTCTTTAAATGTTTCTCGAGACTGACCTTATAGCCAGTGCTACTCTTCCTCTTCCGGTCCCCAAGGTGTTTCTCAAAAGATGTTAGCAAATCTCTTTGGAATCTTAAGTGTCTTTCTCACTTTTTGTTGAATCCTATACACTAGAGAGTGTACATACGAGCTCGGGGTTTTCCTTTAGAACAAGAAGGCAGTGTTTGCTTTTAAAAAAGAATCTGCATTTCACTATCCTGGGTTAGGATAATGAAGCATGTGATTGTAGTTCTTTCTCCCCTCCCCCCCATTTGTTTACTTTATAGCCTCATTACAGAAAAATCAAGCCATTTTAAAATCCAAATGTCTCAGTAAATGATGGATTACCCTGTTTCTTATTACAGATATCTAAGCAGATTGCAAAATAATGGGTGCTAGGTTCTGGCTCACGTCTTTGACCAGTTTTAAGCTGGTATAACTTAAAAACTGGAGTAACAGTGAGAAAGCAAGGCCTGTATTCACCAGAGGTGACCAAGCTGTGACCTACAAGGCTTGTATGACAAGTTCAAAGTGCTGCTGTCTCTGATCCTACAGCTTTGAAGGATTAGTTTTAAATTTAATTATTGATTTCTCCCTCCATCCCAAACATCAGTGGCAAAATAACCACACAATTAATAATTGATACCTGCAGAGCAAGAAGGTTGAAAACATGTGATAAGATGCACTTGTAAGCTGCAATTCTCTCTGGCAAACATGTAGTAAGAAATTTGTGATTGAGTCAAATATTATGATTTCCTGTCCAAATCTTGACTTCACAGTCACTGCATTTTGGATAAATAACACCCACTAGGTGAGTTCATTTTATTTCCAGCTTGTGCATAAATCTGAGTTAATGACAAGGTTTTAAAAATACTTACAACATCGTCACTTGTTAAGAAAATTCTCCAGCTATATAAGACAGCAGAAGTGGGGGATTTAGCAAATATGGAAGTAACCTATTGAAATATATAAAAACCCACAGGGGAATCCTTTCAGGCCCTACTCATTTGTGCTGGAACTGCATCCCAAAGAGATGACCAGTCCTAAAATATGCTGCTGCTCAGGGTACACTGAGGCAGGTTGTAGGGTAGGGACCCAATAAAGTGGAAATACACAACAATGAAGCCCAGCCTGGAGGTTGTTGGAGGAACTGGAGAGATGTCTTCTACTCACTGCTCTGTCACCTTAACACACTGGCCCTTTTGGCTGGAGGTTGGTCTCCCCTCTGTGGTTGTCAGGCTGTTTTCCTCCGTGTTTTCATGATTCAAATGGAGGAATGGACTGAGGAAGCACCCTTAACAGGCTTTGCCTCCTTATAGTACCTCCTGCTGTGGGGAAGGGGAAGTGCAACAGCCATGTCAATCCTGGTATTGATAAATAAATTGGCTGGGTGTCAGTTTTGCCAGTTCATGATGATAAGCAGAGGTAAGCCATCACCATTCACATTACAGAAATGCCTAGATACTCAGTGTAGATCAGCATCCATTGTGTTCAGTGTCATATGGATATTAGTAAAAGCCAATGGCGCAAAGAATTTACAATCCAAGTAGTCATGACTAGGAGAGAGTGGAAGGAGTATTATCCCCAGTTTACAGGTGAGGAGTTGTCACAGAGAGAGAGAGTCACTCGCACCATGAGAGACAGGGCATTTGCAGCAGTCTGGAACTGAGCCCAAATATCCCAAGTCCCTATCTGCTGCCTTATCTGCTAATGTCTAAACCCCCTCAAATATGCAAACATTTGAATTTAGATTTAGATCTGTTTTTGCAAATGGGACAGATCACAGTGTCATAGGGCACCTATACATGTGCCTGATGCCTCCTCCAATGCATGCTAATTTGCAAGCGTTGAAGCAGACTCAATGAATCTGGAGCTTTAGTTAAAGCGCCCCTGACACGACTGTCAAATGAGTTTTAGTTAAAGTGCCCCCTCCCAACATATTGAAGTGTGGGATGCTGAATACATGAGATGTTATGGGCACTTAAATTAGAGCAGTTTCCAAGAGCCACTCTAATTAAACCCCCCTTCACCCCACCTGGGACACATGTTAAGCTGTCCATAGAAAACAGGGCTCAAAAGGCCCTCAGGAGCTCATCTAGTTCAATCCCCTGCTCAAAGTGGGATCATCCATGACTAAAAACCACCTTAGCATGTGTTTGTCGAATCTGCTCCTAATAACAATGAAGGATGGAGATTCCACCACATCTTTAGATAAGCTGCTTCAAGGCTCAACCCCCCCCCCCCATACTTAGAAAGTTCTTCTTAATATCCAAATTAAAATCCCTCTTGTTGCAATTTAAGACTTCTTGACCTGTCCCTTATGGACGCGTTCAGACAAGTGCGCATGTGCCTCTTGCTCCATCTCAAACCCCTTTGAGACGAGGCAAGAGGCATGTGTGGGAACAAAAAAATGTTTCCCTGGATTTTTAGATCCCTGGATATTCAGCGGTCTAAAAAATCCGAAGTTAAAAAAAGTGGGGACTGTTCCTTGAGGTAACTGGAGACTGGGTCCTCCATGAAGATGCTCTGGCTGCCAGAGCATTTCTATGGTTGGGCCCTTGCCCTGGTGCTGAACCATGTGGCCTGCCAGGCAGCATGCTTCAGCACCAGGGCTCCAGTGCAGTAAGGAAGGGGCTGGAGGAGGGGGGAGGGGACCATGGGGGGGCCCCTGCTGGTCCTGTCCACTCCCCAGCTCCCCCAGCCCTGCT